TGACACAGGACAATGACACAGTGACAATGACACAGTGACAGTGACACAGGACAATGACACAGAGTCCCCACCCGTCCCGGGCAGGCCCCGATAAGGCCGGGTGGGGTTTTGGGGTGCGGCTCTGGGGCCTTATCAGGGTTTTGGGGCATTATCAGCTCTGGGCTGGTTTTGGGTTCAGTTATGGGGATTTTGGGGGTTTTGGAGGTGTTCATCAGGATTTTTGGGGGGTTTGGAGGGTTTCACGGGTGTTTATGGGAATTTTGGGGGGATGATGGTGTTTTGGGGGTGTTTATGTGGTCTTTTTAGGGGTGTAATGATGTTTTAGGGGTTCAGGTGATTTTAGGGGTGCCAATGGGATTTTTTTGGGTGGTTCTGAGGGGTTTGGGATTCAGGTGATTTTTCGGGGTGTCTATGGGAATTTTTGGGGTGGTTCCAAGGGTTTTGGGGTTCAGGTGATTTTTGGGGCTGTCAGTGGGATTTTTGGGGCGGTTCCGAGGATTTTGGGGTTCAGGTGATTTTTAAGGCTGTCAATGGGATTTTTGGGGCAGTTCCGAGGGTTTTGGGATTCAGATGATTTTTGGGGCTGTCAATGGGATTTTTGGGTGGTTCCGAGGGTTTTGGGGTTCAGGGCATTTTGAGGCCGTGCCACCGCCCCGGGGGGCTCGGGGGGCCCGGCGGGTTTCGGGGTCCCACCTCGGGCCCGAAGCGGCGGCGGGCGAAGGCGTGGGCGCTCTCGTCGGGGCCGGTGCCCGCGGGCGTCAGCAGATCCCGGAGCGCCGCCCCGAGCAGCGGCCGCGAGAACGGCGGCACCGCCCGGAACAGTGACCTGGGGACACGGGGACAGGGTGGCACTGGGGACAGGGTGGCACTGGGGACATGGGGACAGTGGTGGCACTGGGGACAATGGTGGCACCGGGGACAATGGTGGCACTGGGGACACGGGGGTGGCATTGGGGACACGGGGACAGGGTGGCACTGGGGACACGGGGGTGGCATTGGGGACACGGGGACAATGGTGGCACTGGGGACAATGGTGGCACTGGGGACACAGGGACAGTGGTGGCACTGGGGACAATGGTGGCACCGGGGACAATGGTGGCACCGGGGACAATGGTGGCACTGGGGACAGTGGTGGCACTGGGGACACGGGGGTGGCATTGGGGACACGGGGACAGTGGTGGCACTGGGGACAATGGTGGCACTGGGGACACAGGGACAATGGTGGCACCGGGGACAATGGTGGCACTGGGGACACGGGGGTGGCATTGGGGACACGGGGATAGTGGTGGCACTGGGGACACAGGGACACGGGGGATGGCACTGGGATCAATGGTGGCACTGGGGACATGGGGACAGTGGTGGCACTGGGGACAATGGTGGCACTGGGGACACAGGGACAGTGGTGGCACTGGGGACAATGGTGGCACCGGGGACAATGGTGGCACTGGGGACAGTGGTGGCACTGGGGACACGGGGGTGGCACTGGGGACACGGGGACAGTGGTGGCACTGGGGACACGGGGACAATGGTGGCACTGGGGACACAGGGACAGCACCGGGGACACAGGGACAGCACCGGGGACACAGGGGTGGCACAGGGGATGTGGGGGATGGCACTGGGGACAGGGGGACACTGCCCAGAACAGCCCCTGGGGACAGTGGGGACACATGAGGTGGTACTAGGGGCAGGGGGACACAACCTGGGGACAGCAGGGGTGGCACCAGGGACAGGAGGTGGCAGTGGGGATAGGGGTGGCACAGGGACAGGGGACACGGGGAGGTGGCCCGGGTGACACAGGGACAGGGGGACACAGGGACAGGGGGACACAGGGACAGGGGGACACGGGAACAGGGGGACAGGGGGACACGGACACGGGGACAGGGGGACACCCACCGCAGCCCCGAGGGCAGGGGGTGCAGGGCCCCCCGCAGGTACAGGAAGCGATTTTGGGACGCCGGGTGGCCCTTGGGGACAGCCAAGACGTCACTGGCCAGCCCCAGCTCCGACACCTGCGGGGACACGGGCACGGCGCTGCCACCGGGGACCCCAAAATCCATCTGGGGACCCCAAAATTCACCCAGGGACCCCAAAATCCATCTGGGGACCCCCAAAATTCACCTGGGGACCCCCAAAATTCATCCAGGGACCTATTTGTCACCCCAAATCCAGCCCGAGGACTCCTCTGTGCCCCCAAATCCACCCCCCAGGACCCCTCTGGTACCCCAAACCCAGACCCAGGGACCCCCCCCCC